GGCTTCATCCTGGACGGCGTGGCCCTGAGCACCATGGCCCGCAACTACGAGCAGCTGAAGCCCAAGGTCTGGTCTGCGATCCCGCCCTACAACGCGCAGCAGGACCACCACGCCCGCCGCTACTTCAGGAGCTGTGTGGTTCCGCCCGTTTTGCGGAAAACGGGTCAGGTATGGAACTCTCCAAAGCCCCCCGCTGTTTGCCTGTGGAGGTTGTCCCTGGCGGCGGACTGACTCCCCAAATCCCAAATCCGGGCGTCTCACTCAAGTGCCCTCCCATCCCCCCATCCCCATACACACACACCTCAGTGTTCTTCACGACCACACGGACCTGGCCAGGTTCTATCCCTGAACTTGAGAATGATCTCATTTTGGGTTTCTGCAAGCCCAGGGAATCGGACTCCAAGTCCGCTCCTCCCAAACCGATTGCATTGTCCTTTTTGACGACATGGAACCTCTCTTTAGGGTGACCTCACACTGCAGATTCTCGGAAAGCACGAAAATCTATGTGACCTCAGGGGACAAGACAAAGAGCTGTCTTAGACTCTAGACCCACAAAGGGCCGCCGCGCCTTCTGTTCGGTGACGTCAGGAACCTCGAGCTGAAACCTCCCAGCTCTCCTTGGATCTCCCTTCTCCCCAGGCACATTACTTCCCTGGGGTCGAAGATTCTGAGGCTATTTGCTAATGATTCCATTAAAAAAAAAATTATATATATATATATATATATATATTTTTTAATTGATTTTAGAGACAGGACAGGAGAGGCATAGAGAGGTAGAAACATTGCTGAGAGAGAAACATTGATCGCCCTACTTGGCGTCAAGCCCGAAATTCCGACTTGTGCCCTGACGGGGAATCGGACCGTGACCACACTCAACCACTGAGCCACCCTGATTGGGCTGGTTCCATTCTTTTCACCACTTATGCCTCCCATGTTGGCGCCTGTATGTCAGTGGTATGAATATGACTTCATGGGGGTTATTCCGTGAACAAATCTAGGTGGTGGTGTTTTTTTATCCCAGGTGTTTGTGTGTGCGCACTTGCATGTTCAGTACAAGTATATATGGACACACGTCTGTACATGCCCTGTTTGAGTGTGTACTTGCTGTTGAGTCATGTGGCTTTTAGGACAGAAGGAGCCAGAGTATGGGGAGGGCTTGGAAAAGAAGATGGCATACACACTTTTGAAATTTTCTGTTCCGTTTGTAAGTAGTTTAATTGTCACGACCACCACTTGTGGCAGATATTATTTTCATTTAAATGAAGATAAGATTTTTTTTTTAAAGATAAGGTTTGCTGAACTTTACTATGCCAGGCCCTTTATTTGAACCATCTCACAGCAACCCTCCTTTTCCTGATGGGGACACTGAGGTCCAGAAACGCTGAGTCATCGGCATAGGCCACACAGCTTGTTAGTGGCACAGCTGGAATTGGAAACTGTCTGGCAGCAGACACTGAGCCCCTAAGGGCCACGCTACACAGCCTCTCCCTGAGAGGCAATAGAGATCATAAGTATATTTAATCTTTCTGGCCCCTTAGCCCTGGCTGTGACCTCTACCCACAAGCCACAGGGGAGCCCGCAGTGGGCTGTCTCAGCATGGTGGCGGACCGTCCTTTTGTTCCCTAACCGTCTTCCGTATTCTTCCCCTCATGCTCAGGACCGTGGAGGTACAGGAAGGGACGGCTGGATAGTGGATTATTTCCACATCTTCGGGGAAGAACAGAAATACCTCAACAGGAGAAACTGGGCAGGGGCAGGCAAGTGGTCCCCCCTAGGAAGAGTGGTGTGCATCCCACAGATCAGAGAGAGAGGGGGTGGAGAGAAACCTGGTTGGGGAGAAGAGGGCCAGGGACTGCATCCTCCAGCTTTTCCTATTAGACTAGAAGTCCGATGCATGAAATTTGTGCATGTGGGGGGGGGGGGGTCCCTCAGCCCAGCCTGCACCCTCTCCAATCCAGGACCCCTTGAGGGATGTCCCCCTGGGATCAGGCCTAAATAAGCAGTTGGACATCCCTCTCACAATCTGGGACCACTGGCTCCTAACTGCTCACCTGCCTGCCAGCCTGATTGCTCCCAACTGCCTTCCCCTGCCGGCCTGATCAGCCCCTAAATTCTCTCTCCTGCTGGCCTTATTGCCCTCTAACTGCTTGCTCCCCTGCCAGCCTGATCATCGCCCCTAACCGCCTCTGCCTTGGCCTCTCCCATTGTGGCTTTGTCTGGAAGGAAGTCAGATGTCCAGAAGGTGTCCAGCCTAGTTGACCCAGTCTAATTAGCCTTTGATTAGTATAGATAAGAGCAGAAGCTGTATCTATATTTAGTTATTGAGCATCTGACAGCATGTCAGGTGCTTTTTACCCTCACACTACCCCTATGTTACTTACCACCTGGGAAACTGGGACTGAGGGAGTTAAAGGATTTGCTGAGAAGGGCTGAGATTCCACTTTCCTAACTCTAAAGCCTTCATTCCTCTCAAAGCTTCTGGGCAAGCTGTCTCCTGCGTATGTTACCCGCACAGTTAAGCAGCAACAGGAATGGGAATTGAGAGGTGTTTTTCTGACAGGGTAAACACTCCTCCCACCCCAATCCCACCCCTCTTTAGGCACACTCTATACACGTGACCCTTTGTAACACTTGGCCACGCTGAGCATATCAATGTTCTCCAGATGAGTCAGAGGCAAGGATGGCATTTTCTCAGTTCTAGGAGCAAGGCAAGTTTGGCCACGCCCAGAAGTTTCTGACCCTCACGGGCCATTCATATACCTCCTGCTCGCTCTTCCTGGTATGAGGCTGGGTTTCTAGGAAGCCATCTGCTTCCTTGACTTCACCAACCCTTGGCTTTTCTGCAAGAGGCTTGAGACATTTGAGGGCTGAGGGTTCCGCTAGCCATGGGGAGCACAGCCCCCGTGGCTGGGTTGGTTTCCTAATACCAGCCCCGTGGAAGCGGAGGAAGCAAGAGGGGGCTGCACGCAGGCTCAGGCCTGTCTCTCCACCCGCCAGGGCATTCCTTCCCGCAGGTGATCGGGCACGACTACTACAATGCTGACCTGAAGATGATCCGGGGGTACAATGGCCAGTTTGGCTACCGCAGGAACACCCCGGCCCTCCGCCAGTGCACATCTGTCTTTGGAGAGGTCACCCGCTTCCCTCTCTCCTAACTGCAGCTCGTCCTTCCGTACCCCTTGAGCTGAATTTCCTTGGCAGTTGCTTAGATGAACTCCCAATATCGTTTTATATAAAAATTGTTTTTACTTGTGCCTCCAAGTGTGCTGTTTCTTCCCCCGAGTTGCGGGGGGGGGGGGGGGGGACTCGTTTCTCTGTCCTCAGCGTTTCTCCCCAGCGGAGAGGGGGTGAGAGGAGAAAGTGGGTCTGAGGTTTGTGCCTTTATATTCCATGCCAACCAGTGCCAGCTTGCTGCACGCTATTCTGCCTCCGTTCTCCCTTGCCAGTGTGATGAGGAGGAACCACACTACCCAGCCCTCAACAACTCTCCCCCAGACATCCGCAGGGCTAGGTCAGAGCTGGCTACTGTTTCCATCAAGGATGGAGCAAGCCGGGTGGCCACAGGGATGGGCCGTTGGTTGCCCTAAAAGGATTTCCTGAGAGTAGGGATTCATCCAGAGGTTGGGCAGGAACAAGGTGAAACTCTCGGAGTGCTTTTTTAATCCAAGGATTCTGACACAGTAATACTGTATTGGTGGACACTTTCCCTACAAACGCGATGTCAGTTTCCCCTCCAGCTACTTTCCAGGCCATTTTTCCCCTGTGCTTCAGCCCAGTTTATGGGTGGCCAGGGGAGAAGCCAAAGTGGATGATGGATACAAAAGAAGGCGGGGCTTTAGAACACAAAGCTTGCCAGCACTCTGGTATGGGTGGAACCTAATTATTTTGAGTCACCACAAGTGGACAAGGAGGACAAACAAAGCATGTCCTGGGGGTATAGCTCAGTGGTAGAGCATTTGACTGCAGATCAAGAGGTCCCTGGTTCAAGTCCAGGTGCCCCCTTCCCATTGTTTTTCCACTTCCATTATATGTACTATAAATAACCCTCAACCCCCAGCCACAAAGTTACTAGAGAAGGCAATGAACTCCCATGTCCTGAAATACTAGTACACTCCAAATGACCGGTGGAACATCGGTTGGGATTCAATTAAGACAAATTTATGTCAAAACCGGTTTGGCTCAGTGGATAGAGCGTCGGTCTGTGGACTGAAGGGTCCCAGGTTCGATTCCGGTCAAGGGCATGTACATTGGTTGCAGGCACATCTCCGGTGGGGGGTGTGCAGGTGGCAGCTGGTCGATGTCCCTCTCTCTCTGTCTCGTCGATGTTTCTAGCTCTCTCTCTCCTCTTCCTTCCTCTCTGTAAAAAAATCAATAAAGTATATTTTTTAAAAGACAAATTTATGTCATCCCAATAAATTCAATAAAGTAAAATAAAAATAAAAGGACACGGTTCCCTAGGAAATTCTAAATCTAAGATTAAGTCAGAGCTGTGAACACAAATTTAGCAATCGGATGTATGATAGTAAAGATAAAGGCATTCAGACATGCACCGTATTTTATGAAAGCATGCAAGGCCGTAGTGAATTAAAAAAATAAGCCTTGCCCAAGCTGGTTTGGCTCAGTGGATAATAGAGCATTGTCCTGGGGTCTGAAGGGTCCCGGGTTCTATTCCAGTCAAGGTCACATATCCTAGCGGGATGGTAGAGGGGCGCCAACCCAAGGACCACGGGCGCCGCAACCTGAGGGCCTCGAACTGCGAAACCACACGTGACGCTCCCGCTACGTTGCGTCACAGGGTAACACACGTCATCACCCCGCGACGCCGTCGCCGTACGCGAACGCCCTCCCGGAAGTGGAATGTAGATCCGGCTGGGAAAGTGGCAGCCGGCGGCCCCGGAGAGGAGAGGTGGGGAGGTCTCGTCCCTGAACTATTTCTCTGTTTCCTCTCGATCCTTCCTGAGTCTGCCAGGTCCCCGGAGTGAGGAAACGTCTCCACCATCATGGGAGGCGGAGACCTGGTAAGTGAGGGGGGCCTCGGCCGGGGGGACTGGGGCGGGAGGCGGGCTGGGGCTCCGGCCGGAAACCGGTGGGAGTGGGTAACCGTGGAAACGCAACATCACTTTCGCGGGGGTGGGGGTGTGTGCCGGAGCCTGGAGAGGGGACGGATCGCTAAGGCCACGAAAGGACTGAGCGGCGGCTTGGGGAGGGGTGCCAGGTGTGTCCCCCATGGTGGCAGGTGTTGTTTGTGTGTGTGTGCTAGGGGGCCCTCTTGGCTGGAAATTCCGGGGGAAGGCCCGGGGACAAGGGTTGAAGTCTCGGGTAGGAAAGAAGGCAGATATCGAGGACAGGTCACGCAGGCATTGTTTTGTATATTTTGTCTTGGGACACATCTGTCTTTCTCAGCTAGGAGTTCAGAGCGACGTCCTGGGCTGGAGTAGGCGTGGTTTGTGCCCCATTCTTTCCCTTGAGCCATGTCCTGGGTTGGCACCACCTGTCTACAGGCTTAAAATGGGTTAAGCCTGAAGACATCTTCAGGTCCACCTTTTCCGTTTCTCCTTCAGTGCTGCATTCTTATCTACAGTGTCAGAGTTTTCTCCTGAATTTGTAGCACTTAATATAGGTTAAGTGGCAGTTGCTCTTAAACAGAATAATTCATTTGTAAGGGGCTGAGGCCCTCAGTTGGGCAGTGATCCACAAGAGCTTGGTGCAACATCAGAAAAATGCTGACCTCTTGAAAGTTCAGTTAATCGAAACAGCAAATCAACTAAGTCACCTGTCCAGGAGCTGTTAGAGCTTCAATACTCCAGCAAGGTTCCTCCAATTTGGTGTATTTTTCGGAAAACTGCATTTAGAGACAGGAAAGCTCTTTCTTTTTCATGGAAAATGCAAATTAAAAAATATTGTTGAAAATATTACATTTGTCCTCCCTTTCCCCCTATTAACTCCCTTCAGCCCCCACCGCCCCAGGCTGTCACCACCTAATTGTATGGGGAACAGGAAAGCTCTAATCCAGGGTTTCCCAGGCTCAGTGCTATTGATAATTCTGTGTGTGTGTGTTTGTTCGTATGTTCCTGTGCACTGTAGGATGTTTACCAGCATCCCTGGCTTCTAGCCACTCATACCATCCTTCTCCCAGATCTGTGCTCCAGTTGTGCAACCAAATGTCTCCAGACAGTGGCTCCCATCAGCTTACACTCCATCCCCAGCCACAGTGAATTGTTGGTGCTATATCCTTCCTCACCACTGTGCCTTCATCTGTGTGCGCTATTCTGTTTGGAAATGCTGTAAATATTTCTCTCGTCTCCGCGTCCAGCACAGCTAGAGAGCAGTTAGGTTCCTGAGTAGGGCTGCTAGGGATTGAGAAAATGAAAGAAAGAGATAGACACAGATGGAAGGAAAAAGCTGGGTCCTCTGATGGAGAGACAGGGACCCAGAGCCAATACAGCATGTTTATTTTATACAGAAAGTTTTACTAAAGGTCAAGACAAAGGAGATTATGTGCATGCTTGGGTGTGCTGATGCTTGGCTGGATTTAGATAAGGAAACCCAGCTCCTGGGCTGAAGGTCCAGCTGAGTACACTCCTGCCTCTGGCTCTGCCAACTCCATTGGATTCAGCTGACAGTAATTAAAGAAATGCTCCTGTGCCTTCCCAGGCTCGCTCTACAAAATCCTACCCCTGCCAAAACCGTTTGGCTCAGTGGATAGAGCGTCGGTCTGCAGTCTGAAAGTTCCCAGAATCCATTCTGGTCAAGGGCATGTACCTTGGTTTCGGGCACATCCTGGTAGAGGGTGTGCAGGAGGCAGCTGGTAGATGTCTCTCTCTCATCGATGTTTCTAACTCTCTATCCCTCTCTTTTCTTCTCTGTAAAAAATCAATAAAATATAAAAACAAAAAACAAACAAAATCCTACCCTGCTTCCCCTTTTTCTACATTATCAGCTTTATTTGTAATTGTTCTGAGATGTCCTTTCTTCCAGGAAACCTTCTCTGATTGGGAAAGCTGGACCAGAGCTGGCTCTTGCGGAGGATGGAGAGGAGGAGGGTGAAGGGGGGGGGGGTCAGAACCAAGGGGAGATTCCTGGGAAGGGAGATTGGAGGAGGTACTTGATGGGGCTGTAAGCCATCAGGTGTCAGGCAGGCTAAGTGAGCTGCAGGAAAAGAAGGCTGTGCTCCTAAAAATGAATGTGGTTTACAGAGTCTGTGCTTTTCCATCTCCTGCCCCATTCCTCCTGTATCGTCATCACCAACCCTCTCTCCAGACATAGCCAATGGAGGTCAGACTTATATGCATTTCAGGCTAAAAGGATTAGAAGGGAATTCAGGAAGGGCCTTTTTTATCCTGAAGCTTTATGGACTTGACCAAAACCCCCTGGTGTGTGAGAGATTGTGGGTGCCAACCTTGTCGTTGTTAAAGACAGTCTTGGCCTTACATACGCCTGCCTTGGTGTGATCGGGGTTCAGAGGGGTTGGGGGGCGGTGCAGGACCAGTTATATTCGCTACCCATACACTCCCTGAACTGTTTTCTCCCTCCTGCCAATCACCACAGAACCTGAAGAAGAGCTGGCACCCGCAGACCCTCCGCAATGTGGAGAAAGTGTGGAAGGCTGAGCAGAAGCATGAGGCGGAGCGGAAGAAGATTGAGGAGCTGCAGCGGGAGCTGCGGGAGGAGAGGGCCAGGGAGGAGATGCAGCGCTACGCCGAGGATGTGGGCGCTGTCAAGTAAGCCAGGAGCTGCGGGGGGCGTTGGGGGCGAGGTGTCCTGGTGTGCAGGGAACTGCAGGCTGCCCGAGGGGCAGCATCTGGCTGTTGCACAGTGGCTGGTTAAAAGCATGGGCTTTGGAGTCAGTCTGACCTGGGTTCTGAGGCTGGCTTTGCATGTTCGAGCCTCACCATGGAAGGCTCGACCCATGGAGCTAGACCCACGAGACTGTGAATTCCCAGCTTCTAAGGTTTGTGGGAGATGGACAGATAACATGTGGAGGGCTTGGTGTAGGAAATAACCACAACTGAGGGTGATTGCTACTCCCTGCCTCTCGGTATGTGCCAAGGCCTCGTTCCTGCTTTTGTTAGTTTGTGTATTACAGGCTTAGGGGGGCAGTGTGTCTGTCAGTAAAAGCTGTGTGACTGGACAGTCCCACTCAATGTTACGCTGTTTGTTTCCTCTTGTGTAATACAGGATAGGAGGAGCAGATAATAATTACGCTGCCCAGCCAAAACCGGTTTGGCTCAGTGGATAGAGCGTCAGCCTGTGGACTGGGTCCTAGGTTCGATTCGGTCAAGGGCATGTACGTTGGGGGTGTGCAGGAGGCAGCTGATCAGTGATTCTCTCTCATCATTGATATTTCTCTCTCTCTCTCTCTCTCTTCTTTTCTGAAATCAATAAAAATATATTTAAAATAAAAAAGTAAATGTCCAAAGGCCCTGGCCATTGTGGTTCAGTTGATTGAGCATTGTCCATACGCCAAAAGTTACTGGTTTGATTCTGGTCAGGGCACATGCTAGGTAGGGAGCACGCAGGAGGCAGCCTATCAATGCTTCACTCTTGCATTGATGTCTCTCTCTCTCCCTCTCCCTTCCTCTCTCTCAGAAATCAGTAAAAAAAATTTTTAAAAAACATCCAGGTATGTAACCAAAAAAACATTTTTTATGTTCATAGTTTTATATAATCTTAACCAAAAACAAATACACAAAATAATCATATTCAAAAAACATGTAATTTAATGTTATAGGTTTTGATGAAAACACATTGCTGCTTGCAGTGTGAGTAGGGTATTAGCTGCTTTAACATAAGCTTTTATGAATTCAGTGTGCCTTTTTGTCTGTTGTCTGAGGATTCAGTTTTCTCACCACTTTTTTCCTCTCAGAACTATAAGGAAATTTTTGTTTAGTATATTAAACAAATGACACTGTGACATAATTTGGCTCCCCCCTTTGGCTTGAAAGCATAATTTTCTTACAAGCTTATCTCTGGGCTTTTTTTCACCATCTCCATAACGTAGTGTCACTGCTTGTGCCAATAGGACAATGAGCACCAAAACACACAGTGACTGCGTATGAAGTCACTGAAATTGATCTTGGTAATGAGATTATCAGAATATGCTATTGTTTCAGATTATTCTAGAAATGAAAGGATAATTTAAAACTTTGTAGAAGCCCTGGGCAAGAGATCTGTGCCCCAAGTTGAGGAACATAGTTTTTCCTCATAAATTGCTTTAGCTGGTGAAAGTGATCTTCGCTAAATGGTAAGCTTCACGCTGGCAGGCACCGTTTCTCCCCGGGTGCCATGTGGAGTGCTGTGTTTAGCCCATCTTAGTCCTGCTCTGGCTGGCTGTGGTTATCCATCCTTCGTGCTCAGGTTTTGTGTGTCGGTGTCTACATGTCCTTTTCTTGATCCAGGAAAAAGGAAGAAAAACTGGACTGGATGTACCAGGGTCCCGGGGGGCTGGTGAACCGTGACGAGTACTTGCTGGGGCGCCCCATCGACAAATACGTTTTTGAGAAGATGGAGGAGAAGGAGGCAGGCTGCTCTTCGGAGACAGGACTCCTCCCAGGCTCTATCTTTGCCCCATCGGGTGCCAATTCCCTCCTCGACATGGCCAGCAAGATCCGGGAGGACCCGCTCTTCCTCATCAGGTGCTGGAGGGGCGGGGAGGGCTGTCACAGGGATGCTTAGCAGGCGTGTTACTGAGCGTCTCGCTTCACAGGTGGTTTCCCTTAGCCTTTTTACATCATGTGAAAGCGTTTGTCTCCCTTTGGGCTGCTTGATGTTGGGAAGGAGGCTCCATTGTGGGTGCCTGGTGTAGGCCATATGGGAAGAGATTGGCAAGTGGACCAGACCAGATTTATTCGTTTACTGTTGACCCTTAATACAAAATACCAGGTGGAAGCAAGGTCAGAAAGACGGGCAGCTTCTTGGGAATTTGGAGATACGCAGGCTGACCCTGTTTACCTGACTTACCTTGACTGGGAAGCCTAACAATTTGGAGATACGCAGGCTGACCCCGTTTATCTGACTATTACCTTGACTGGGAAGCCTAACAATCACACCACAGGGAACCAGCGTGGACTACCCTCACAATATTCAGTCCCTTATGCCAATCTGTAAGCAGATTTGGGGAAGGTTTCTGGCTTTCACACCATCATGTAGGTTTCAACATAGGACCTGCCTACATGCCTTTTGAAAAAAGATTGCTACACAGAATTGTGGAGAGTGGAATGAGTGACTTAACCTCCTTTCTAAAATAAGTTGTGAAGATCTTTATAATTTTCTCTCTTTAGGAAGAAGGAGGAAGAGAAAAAAAGAGAGGTATTGAATAATCCTGTGAAAATGAAGAAAATCAAAGAATTGGTAAGTAGTGCATCAAATGAGCACCAGGAGTATCTTTTAGCTACTTCAACATGAGAACTTCTCTCCTTTTACTCTTACCTTACGAGAAGGAAAACAATGGCTTTCAAATATTTTGTCTTAGAGACCTTTTCCTGTTGATTTTATGCAATCTCAATTTATCAAGCTTAATTAAACTTGATTTTCTATTTTATGTCTTTTGGTTGGGAAAGTACCATGTGATGGCATGGTTCCAGAAAAAGGGGTATGGGTCATGCCTGTGGAAAGCATGATCATCCAGTGTGTTCAGGAGATCAGGAGGCAGATCTTCATGCCAGCATTCACATGACATGTGTTTATTTCTTGGATCAGTTGGTAAGGAAAATGTGAAGATTGATCTTTCAGTTCCCACGTGCTTTCAGTGAAGTTGGAATTCTTTTGACAGATGGAAGTGCTAGGCAGTGGGTCCAGGGACTGGTGAAAAACACAGATGCCTAGCCCCACCCACCAGAGATTCTGTTCACTAGTCTGGGGGCATTTGTGTACAACCAGGGGTAAGCCCCTCTGCTGTTGACAGGGCCCCTGTAGATCCCGAGGCTTGGAGTTAGGTAGTTTGTGCATAACCCAGTCCACTCAGAAGGATTGACAGGGGTCTCAGTAATCTCGTGTGGTTATGTTCTGGGCATTTTCTAGTTGCAAATGAGTTTGGAAAAAAAGGAGAAGAAGAAAAAGAAGGAGAAGAAGAAGAAGCACAAGAAACATAAGCACAGAAGCTCCAGCAGTGATCGCTGCAGCAGCGAGGATGAGCGCAGCTGCGGGAGGTGAGCATGCGGAGGCGGGCCTCCCTCGTTGATTCATTCCCTCAGTCATTCCACAGGCACTTCCTGAACGCCGCCTCGGGGCCGGAGCTGCCAGGGCCTGAGGTTTCAGGGGTGAACTCAGACCCGGGCCCTGTGCCCACAGAGCTGGCCCTCTAGCACTAGAGCTTCTTGGAGATCTTGGCGTGACCCCATAGCCCTGTGGGTCTTCGGTCAGACAGCCTGGATGTGATTTCATCTCAGCTGGTGATTTCTCAGAGACTGAAGCGAGTTTTATGTAGACTTTTTTTTTTTTTAATGCTTTAATGGACCCATCTGGGCCCATTCTGGGTATCTTCTCTGTGGGGGCAGTCAGCATTGTCGCTGCTGACTCACTCTTGGTCCCTGGAATAGCAGCACGAGGTGAGAGGAGAATGTGTTCAGGCATCAGGGCTGAAAAGCTGGGCCCCCGTTTTTTCCACAGGAAAAACATGGCTGTGCTGATGCATCTTCAGCAAAGACAGTCCGATAGAGACACTCTCCCAAGCAAGAGCTGGGAGGCGGAAAGGTCACCATTGAAGCAGGAAGCCCATTCCAGCACGAGAGATGTACACTGACCTCTTTACATTTCCTTTTTCTCAGTGAGTGCGTGTTTTAATCTTCTAGATCTCAAAAGAAGATGGCAAATTCTTCCTCTGTTTTATCCAAAGTTCCTGGGTATGGTTTACAGGTAAGGACGTGGGCTTTGCAAAGGGAGTGGACTGTTGAATGTGCCAACTTCAACCTTTTAGACAGAGAGCATTTTGAGCAGCTAAGACTGGGGCTCTGGGAAACAGGCCCATGAGTATCCCTGAGCTGAGGGCCCTCTGAGCAGAGGCTAACCCACCAGGGGAGTGTTAAGGCATTCCATCCATCCCTCTACAAATAATGTACATAAAATGTGTATATTTTAAGTGTACAGGCTGGTAATGTTTAACAAATGCACACCCCTCTGGATTCCTTCTTTTCCCTCAGTATGTTTTCCCTGTCCTCCATGCTCTGCCTCTTTTGAGGATCCTCCTCTGGCTGCGGTGAAGAGCCAAGCCAATATGGTGGTTGGGTGGGTACACTCTTTTAAATAATTCTGCAGATAACTTTCCTAAGTTTCGCTGGGAAGGGATTGGTCACCCAGTTGTCTCCTTACAGAGCCTCAGTGCTCATTCATTTTCTTGTCTCACTGCGTTTTCTCTTGAGCTGCTGGACTTCCCTAGGAATAGCCTTTCTTCCTTTCCTTTATGATACAGATCAGGGACTCCGACCATAGCCAGCGTCTTCAGGGCCCTTTGAAGGCTGAGCCAAAAGGAGTGCATGGGTGGAAGAATCATTCCAGGCCCAGGAGCTCCTCCCCCTCGCCCCCCAGACCTGCCAGCAAGAAGAACACCGGAGAAGGAGGGTCCCGGGACAGGAGGTCTCCATCCCCGGGCAGAAGGTCCCGGTCCCCAAGGCCAAGCAGAGCGTGAGTCCTGGAATTCACTGTGGAATAACCTGTGTGTGCGGGGGCTGGTCACAACAGGCGATCTGCTTTTGGTGATGTCTGTTCATTAATTTCCCCAAATGTCTTTGCTTTGTTACTCCCTTTACGTCATGTGCCCTCACCTCAATGGAAAGCCCAGGCCCCTAGAACGACATTTGTTTTTTAATGTCGTTAAAGTGGTTGTAATCCGTTTTTTATATTATTGATTTCAGAGAGGAAGAGAGAGAGAGAGAGAGAGAGAGAGAGAGAGAGAGAGAGAGAGAGAGAGAGAACCATCACTGATGAGAGAGAATCATTGATCGGCTGCCTTCTGCACGCCCCCACTGGGGATTGAGCTCGCAACTCGGGCATGTGCCTTGGCCGGGAATCGAATTGTGAGCTTCTTGGTTCATAGATTGATGCTCAACCACTGAGCCATGCTGACCAGGCTCGAACTACATATTTACATATTTGGAATCTCTAGAGCAAGGGTAATGTCAAATCTTATGTACCTTTATGCCTTTATTTTCCTTCCACTTCTGCCCTCTGTTTTCTTCAATTTGGATTATAATTCTAACACAGTTAGCTTTTCTTCCATCGTTTGAGGCACGCGATAAAAGCCCTTGTGTGAAAAAAGCTTTCCTCTCTGCCCTCTGCGTCTGTTACAGACACAACTCTAAGGTGAGCAGGAGAGAGAGAGGCCGAACCAGGAGCCCATCACCTAAAAAAGAGGCTTACCAGCGGCGGCACGCTCCTGGATACACCAGGTGAGTCAGGAGCCAGCAGATCAACAGCCCTGCAGGCCTCAGTCTTGGGCAAGTGGACAATCTACATCACCTTTATGCCCAACCAGCTTTTTTTATTCTTCTTGTCAACCTTTAGACGTCTGCCCCTCAAAGTGGGAGGCATATTGAAGGGATAAATAGTCTCTCAACATCTGTAAGTTCTCTATTTCCATAGGAAAGCTTTTCTCCAGAGAGTGTCCCTTACTTGAGGCATCAGCCGGAGGGGAAGCAGGGGCCCCTCCTGAGGGCAGACAGGCTCTGTGTTTGAGCTGGGCGGGAGTGGGCCGGGCAGAATATAGGCGTGCAGCCCTGTGGTGTGAGGGAAAGGCTGGCCCTAGGGGTGCAGTAGCTCTGAGTAGAAGTTTAGATGAATGAGTAACCTTGATGAACTTCCTTTTACTGCACATGAAAATCACTTGGGAAGCTTAAAAAAAAAGTCCCATTTCCTAGCTACACCTGGTTATAATCTCTGGGGATGGGCCCAGACATAGTATTTTGTTGTTGTTGTTAATCCTCACTAGAGGATATTTTTTCGTTGGCTTTTAGACAGAATGGAGGGGGGGGGGGGGGAGACACATTGATTGGTTGCCTCCTGCACACGCTCTGACCAGGGCCAGGTATCCAGTCTGCAACTGAGGTATGGTGTGTGTCCTTGACTGGAATCGAATTTGGGATCGAATTTGGGATCCTCTAATCAATGAGCAAACACTTTATCCACTGAGACAAACCGGCTAGGGCCAGACATCAGTGTTTTTATTTTTATTTATTTATTTAAATATATTTTATTGATTTTTTACAGAGAGGAAGGGAGGGGGAGAGAGAGCTAGAAATGTCGATGAGAGAGAGACATCGATCAGCTGCCTCTTGCATACCCCCTACCAGGGATGTGCCCGCAACCAATGTACATGCCCTTGACCGGAATCGAACCTGGGACCTTTCAGTCCGCAGACTGACTCTCTACCGCTGAGCCAAACCGGTTTCGGCGAGACATCAGTGTTTTTAAAGCTCCCTGGTGATTCTGATGTGTAACCAATGTTGAGAACCACTGAGTCTACAACATCTTGTATTCACTATGTCGTTAGAGGAGAGGTGGACCCTAGGTCCCTTTTAACTATTAATTGCCTGATTCTCTGTTTCCAGGGAATAGAAACTTAAAAAGTTTATTTTTAAATATATTTTTATTGGTTTCAGGGAGGAAGGGAGAAGGAGGAGGTAGAAACATCAATAATGAGAATCATTGATCAGCTGCCTCTTGCACACCCCCTATTGGGGATCAAGCCCACAACCCTGGCATGTGCCCTTGACTGGAATGGAACCTGGGACCCTTCAGTTTGCAGGCTGGTGTTCTATCAACTGAGCAAAACTGGAGAGGGCTAAAAAGATTTGTTTTTGACTGGCAACTTCCCACCTGACCAAGCAAGGTATTTGGAAGGAAAGAAACTCATCCTGAGTTTGACTATAGGTTAGGCATGTCTGTGGGAAGAGCAGTGAGGTGTGAACCTGAGGTCCTACCTGATTCCTGTTCTCCCTGAGATGGTTCCGGTTTTTTTGTTAGGAGAGAAGTAGACATGTTGGGGTGGTTTTTGTGTTCAACAGAAAGCTCTCATCAGAGGAACTTGAGCGAAAACGGCAAGAAATGATGGAAAATGCCAAGTGGCGGGAGGAAGAGAGGCTCAACATCCTTAAGAAGCACGCTAAGGATGAGGAAAGGGAGCAGAGGCTGGAGAAGCTGGACTCTCGGGACGGGAAGTTTATCCAGTGAGTGCACCTTCTTCCTGCCCAATGGCTTTCATTTGTAGCGATGGTCCCAAGAAGGCAGCTGGGCAGCTGGCTCATTCCTGGTGCTCCCAGTGTTTCTGTGTCTGTAGAGAGGACATGGAGCTCAGTCTCCAGACCATCTTTATTACCACTCGTAGCTGCTGGCCAGACCTGGCTAGAGAGTAGGATGTTTTTAATTTGAGGTGAGGAGAGGTGAATTGGTATTTTCATGGAATCTTCTTGGCCTTTCTTTTGCCCAACCAGCTTTTTTTATTCTGCTGAGGAAATCTTTTTTTTTCCAATGAGGCTTTGACTATTTTCCAAAACAGAACAATTTTCCCTTTGAATCTGGTTTAAATAACTGAGTTCCAGATGGAGGCAAAAGTAATGTATGTGGGTGTAAGAGAGGGTGTGTTTTTACAGCTGGTTTGTGGCTAGCAACCTGTTGGTTTTAGTTTTGCCAGTTGACCAGTTGACACGTTTGTCACCTGCATTCATCTGTCTCCTCTCCCTAGGCGCATGAAGCTAGAGAGTGCGTCCACCTCCTCCCTGGAGGACCGGGTGAAGCGGAATATCTATTCTTTGCAGAGGACCTCAGTGGCCCTGGAGAAGAACTTTATGAAAAGATGAAACCATCCTCTCTCACCGGTTTTCCTGAATTTTCCAGGGAAGCTGCTGACCCCTTAAAAATTCTCTTTATAAGAGTTCAAGCGACTTCCTCCACAGATGTCAAATCACCACTGTTCAAAGTGACTCTCCTCCGTGGATTCCTGAAACAGCTGCTTCCTTTGAGAAGTAGTGAGACTTGCTTTATGGGACCCTCAGCAGCTTGTGCTGGGTGCATAGTGGGTTTTGACTGTTTTTAGTGGTGGGCACTGGACCATCTAGGTGTGAGCACTCCTGCCACTCTGGAGGGCTGCTTCCTGTGGTTGTGATTGGTATTATGCCACTTTCCTCCCACCTGTGTGAACACACCTCAGCATGTTCCAGGCCTTTTGGAAACCCCACTCCAGAGTCATTGAGATGGATTGTGCTTACCAGGGTAAATGGACATTTATTTGACTTAGTCGATAGGTGACAGGATGACATCAGGATAGGGCATAGCTAAGGGAGTGACAAAGAATCTGGAAGGGGAAAATATTTTTTAAATCCCTAAGTGAACTGTTGGAACCATTGGACTACCTTTCAAACTGTAAAAGTATAGTGTGTGTGTGTGTGTGTGTGTGTGTGTGTGTGTGTGTGTGTACACACAAATGGTAATTTTTACATGCTTTTTAAAAAATTAGCTTTGTGAGAATATCTTGTTTCGTAAGCGACTTTATATGTAACAGAACCACATTGTATCTTGTTATTAAGTAATGCAGTTAAGGCAGGTCAGCTTTTTCCCCCTTTGCACATCCAGCTGGTTTAGGAGGGGCTGGGTGTATGGATAGGGTCTAAGGTAGCCATCCTTTCACAATGCATAGAGTCTTCGATGTGAGAAGTGCAATGATGAAGTCAAATCATTTTATGAGTCAGGACCAAATTGGCAGTATGCTCCCTGGCTCTTAAAAATAAAAATAGAAGCTATTTATATTTTATGGCTTCCTTTTATCATGTAGTAATCCGATTATAATAATTCTAGATTTCCTGAAGTTGTTTGCTACTATTTTTTAGTCAGTTATTAAAAAAACCAAAAGTTATGGTTCTAATGTCCTGTCTTCTTTCCCTTTGTTCTTTCACCACAAGCCCTCATTTGACCTATGAACTTTTCCATAGGTACCCTTGACCCCCACATTAGCTGGGCTATTCCTTTTCTACTGATTCCTAATTTGGCTTAAAACAAATTTGGGTTTATATTTTTGAGCACTTATAATGCAAGACTCTGTAATATTTAAAACCTAGTCTTTCTCCAGAGAGAAAGTAACATACACTTGTTACTTATTTAATCGCCCTGTGATAATGTTAATGATGTAGTTTATTACATTACTTTTAATGTAACCTTGAAAATAAAGGTTACATTTATTTTTGTTACTGTTTAAAGAGCTACCATGTGCTGAGAAGCAAATTTGCATATTTCCATTCAGAGCACTATGCCCCGTCATTTAGGTCATATACCTGGAGCTCCTTGGCCCACGAGGAATTATGTAACAGATTTCATGAAGTGAGCCTGAGAATAAGATGATTACGGCTGTTGGTCAGGTGTCTTAAGGTGCCAGCCGGCTCTTAACCTGACCCTTTGGCGGGAGGAGGCCCAGGCTGCAGGTGGGTGGGGAGCCCATTCATAAAACCTGGGCTCCCGGGCCGGCCCTTCTCATTGGCCCCGGGGCGGGGGGCGTGGCCTGTGGGTGGGACGCTGCCCTGGGCCCCGGGAAGTGGGAAGACCCAGCTCGGGTGGGGCGAGGGGGCGCTCCTTGGTTTTCCCCGCAGGACTTCCTTTTCCCGCCGCTGCGTCTCTCCTCCCCCCCGGGGTGCAATGGTACGTCCCGCCCCCGCCCGCCCGCCCCTCCTTCCCTCCCGGGCGCCGCCATCTTGGCACGTCAGGTTGCTGGAAATAGCCAAACCCTGGCTTTGGGGACCCGGACCGGGACCCCTCCTCTTCCCGCCCTCCTCCCCTCCTCGCTCCGGTGCGGGGTTCTGGGGCGCGGGGGCCGGCCGGGCTCCGGTCAGGCCCGGGGAGGCGGGGCGGGCGGGGCGGCCGCAGCCCCCGGTGGCCGGGCCGTACCACCCGGCGGGGGGCATCGGGGACGGCCGGGCGGGCGCGGCTCCGGGGCGGGCGCCGAGCGGGCTGGCCGGCCCCCTGGGGGCGGGGCGGGGGCGGGCGCGGGGCGGACGGAACCACCGGGGCGGGGTGGGGAGGTAACGGGACGGGCGCGACCATGGCGCGCTGAGGGAGCGGGGGTGGGATCGGTCCGGGGGAGGCCTGGCGCCGCTGGCTCGCGCCCTGTCTCGGCCGCCCCCCCGTTCGCCGCCGCCGCCGCCGCCGCCGCCGCCGCCGCCGCCGCCGCCCCGGGCATGTCGTCCAACTGCACCAGCACCACGGCGGTGGCGGTGGCGCCGCTGAGCGCCAGCAAGACCAAGACCAAGAAGAAGCATTTTGTGTGCCAGAAAGTGAAGCTATTCCGGGCCAGCGAGCCGATCCTCAGCGTCCTGATGTGGGGGGTGAACCACACGGTAACCAGCTCCCCGGCGCCCCCGGCCTCCCGGCCGCCCCCCGCCTTCCCCGGCCTCCGCCCCGCGGCCCGGCCGGGGACGCCTGCAGCCCCGCTCCGGCCACTCGCACGCCCACCCACCCTCCCGCGCGCCCCGCGAGGCCTGCGTCCCCGTGGGCCGCCGCCGCCGCCCCCCGCCCTCAGCCCCCTGGCTGCCTGCGTCTGGGGCGCTCGCCTCGGCCGGCCCTGCAGCGCGGAGGGAAGGCCTGGGTGCAGGGGGATCGCCCTCATCCCCTCTCTCTCCACCTCGCCCTCCTCTCTGGGGTGCATGCGTGTTCCCGCTGCCGGCTCAGGGTCTGGTTGACAGGGCAAGTGGCATTGGCTTGCCTGGCGGTGCCTCTGGGTCTGGTCGTCTGGTCGGTGTGGCTCCTCAAAGTTTCCCATCCTCCTGATCATGGAAGTCCTTCCCGGGTTTCCCTTTCTCCTGCTTGAACGAGATGTACCCACTGGGGAAGCACAGGCTTCCTTGAACCACAGACACTTGGCCAGGCCCTCCCGGGTTAGGGAGAAGAGAAGGGGTGAGACCGGGTTTAAGGACTGTGGACAGTAGAAGGAAGGTCTTCCGGCTTTCTCCCATTCGCTGCTCACGCCAAAGCCTTGGACTTCTCATGTATTTAGCTTTCTATTGTATGGTCAGGAAGGGTGTGGCAATGGGTGGTGATTGGGATGAGAGAGGGGTCTCCTGGATCCTTGGGGCGCTGTGAGATTGTCCAACCGTCCGTCCGGAAATTGGAGCCCAGGCCAGTGCGAGCTGGAGGGCGTTGTTTATGTCCTGCTTGCTTAGGGTCTTTTTTCTTCCAATTCCAATTACTCGCCCCCTGCACTCTGACCATGTCGTTGGGAGCCCAACGTGGATTAGGAACGAGCAAAAAGAAGCAAAAGGACCCGAGACAACCAGTTCCACCAAGGAAAAGTTTGCAATAGGGGGGATGGAGCTAACGGCTTGGGTTTCGGTCTTTTCGTTCCCCTCGCTTTTCTGAACACCTGCAATGGCCCGTAGACTCCCTCCATGGTGTTTTGGTTCGGTAGATGGATAGACCGTGGCCTGAGCCTTGTTTTAGAACTTCACCTCTGATGCAGAGAAGCACCTGTGTACGGTGCGGTCCTTCTTGGTTCTCGAACTGCTTCTGGCCAATAGTCCGGCAGAGTTTGTTCCTCCTGCTTCCTGCTACCTCGGGGGGCATTTGACATCAAAATGTGAACCCTGTGTCACTGCCTAGAAGTCCGTCCTTGATGTTGTCCTGCTGCCTGCTTCTCACTAGAAAGCATTCTTTCTGGGCAGAGAACTGGGAGAGATCCAGGCGTCGGGATCTCTGTGGCCACACCAGCGGACGCAGCTCATTGTCCAGCGCTGTGGGCTGTGCTGGCCAGCGGGGGTGCTTGATGGCCTGCCTCCTTCTCTCTGCCTCCTGTTCCTTGTCCTGTCTCTCAGCCACGTGCCAGGGACAGTTGGGAAGTATCGTCTTGTTAGAGAACCTGAATGTAACATACGTACCTCAACTGTGTGCACCTGGGCAGGGGCGTGTGCGTGGGGTTTGGTTTTCTGATAGGCCATCTGCTCACATGGGGGCATCAGGTGCAAGCCTCTGTAGGCAGATAGGCCATCCAGGTGGGTGGGTATAGCTGTGATTCCTACTCCGTGGGATGCAGCAGTCACCTCTCTTTGCTAACTCAGAAAGTTTGCTGGAGGGCCAGCTGGGAAGGCATGGACTGTAAGGCATGGACCTTGCTCTGGGCATAAAGAGCCAGCACCTCAGGGGAAATGCCACAGGCACCACAGACCCGGACGGCTGAGTGAGCTTCTGAGGTCACTTAGCCCCAAGTTTTGATGCTTCCACCCGCCTGTAATAAGTCTAGTCCCTACAGGTCCCCATCTGGGAAATGGAGGCATCTCCCCAGAAGAAGTGTATACAATTTTGCAATTCTCTAGGGCAGTGGTCGGCAAACTCATCAGTCAACAGAGCCACATAGCAACAGGACAACGATCAAAATTTCTTTGGAGAGCCACATTTTTTAAACTTAAACTCCTTCTAACGCCACTTCTTCAACATAGACCCGCCCAGGCCGTGGTAGTTTGTGGAAGAGCCACACTCAGGGGGCCAAAGAGCCGCCTGTGGCTCAAGAGCCGCAGTTTGCCGACCACTGCTCTAGGGGGTCAGGACCACATTGTTCTTGGTGGGTTGCTAGCCTTTCTTGGCGATTACTTTACCTCAGAAGCCGCTGTTGCAGCAGCGTTTTGCAATCTGAGATTTCAGATCTCCTGTTTTCTTTGATTCTTTAGTTTCTCGCCCATTTAGGCAGTTAGGCCATCCGTGATGCTCTGTGGCCCATGGTGAATGGGTCTGTCTCGGCCCGTGGTAGAATGAGTTACTCTCTCAAGAGTAACTTTTAGGTTCCAGTGTTGTCACATGAGCTGCTCTCATGGACGAGGTCACAGTGGTCTGTTTGCCGACCGATGTTTTCCTGGATGAAACATAGTTCAAAGGGTCTGGAATTGCGGAAGACCAGAAGAGCAGACCCGGCTTGATAACATGTTGCCGTGGTAGGACCAGGTGTCTGTGCAGCCTCACCCAGGTGGTCAGAGGAATAGGAGTGATCGATGGTAACTATGTTTAATCGTCAGCCTTGTTCTTCACAGTGGCGGCACCATCTTACACTTCCACCAGCAGAGTGTGTGTGTGTGTGTGTGTGTGTGGTCCTTGCCAACACTTGTTACTGTCTGTCTTTTTTCATTGTAGCCATCCTAGTGGATGTGAAACGTTATTGTGATTTCAATTTGTTCCCTTTGTAACTAGTGAAGTTGAACATCTCTTCATGTGCTTAGTGGTCATATTTGTATTTTCATTGGAGAAATGTCTATTAAGATCCTTTGCAGCCAAAACCGGTTTGGCTCAATGGATAGAGCGTCGGCTTGGGGACTGAAAGGTCCCGGGTTCGATTCCGGTCAAGGGCATGTACCTTGGTTGCGGGCATATCCCCAGTAGGGGGTGTGCAAGAGGCAGCTGATCGATGACTCTCATCGATGTTTCTAACTCTCTATCTCTCTCCCTTCCTCTCTGTACAAAATCAATAAAAATACATTTTAAAAAAAAAAAGACCCTTTGCCCATTGGAAAAAAAACTTTTTGCATCTTTGTTTGGGTTATTTGTCTTTTTATTATTGAGTTGTTAGAGATTTTGATATATTCTGAATGCAAGTTACTTATTAGATATATGATTTGCAAATATTTTATCCCATTCTTTAGGTTATCTTTTTCACTTTTTTGGTGTTTTCTTTTGAAGCTCAAGTTTTTAATTTTGCTAAACTCAAACTTATCTATTATTTTGGTTGTTTGTGCTTTTGGTGCCATATCTAAGAAGGCTTTGCCTAACCCAAGATTTTTTCTCTACATTTTCTCCTAAGAAAAACTCTTAAAAAACAAAAAACAAAAACCTCTTATAGTTTTAGCTCCTATATTTATGTTTGTAATCCATTTTGCATTAATTTTTGTGTATGGTGTGAGAAACAAATTCAGTCTTTTTGTGTGTGTCTTTTTTATTGATTTCAGAGAGGAAGGGAGAGGAATAGAGAGATAGAAATATCAATGAGAGAGAATCATTGATTGGCTACCTCCCCAACACTCCCTACTGAGGGCTGGGGATTGAACCCACAACTTGGGCATGTGCCCTTGGCCAGAATTGAACTTGGGATCCTTCAGTCTTCAGGCCGACACTCTATCCACTGAGCCAAACAAGCCAGGGTCAGATTCGTTCTTAAGTTTGCTCATTCCTCTCCCACATTTCACCCCCATCCTGTCCATGCATTTTATTTGCTCAGTGCAGACTCAGAACCTTCTTTTCCTGCCTTTTCCTCTGGACCTGTTTCTTTAAAAACCTTAGAAAACTCTTCTGCTCTCATGAGGCCTTTGAGTGAATTTGTCCCTTACCAGGCTTTCTGACCTCATAGAGGGCAGTGGGACTCACCATGAGAAGAGAAGCCAAAGTATAAAAGGAAGGAATAGACTCTGGTGAGTTTGTTGGCCCCTGTGGCTCTCTGTTCTCGCCTTTCCCTCTCTGGAGTTCCGGGTCTTGCTGGGGCTCTTGGTCTTGAGAGTGTGGTTCCCAATCCGTCATGTTTTCTGATGGCGGCAGGTAACAAATGTTTGTCAGTGGTAGTCAGCCCAGAGCTGAGTCACCCACGGAACCCTGGGACGTGACAGGAATCCTGTATGCCCAGCCCCACCTCCTGGGGAGCAGTTCCAGTGAAGGTCACACAGGGAAGTGGAGGCTTCTAGAATCAGCAATTCACCAGACTGGAACTGGTGACTGAATTTTCATTTCCAGTACGATCAGCATAGAGTGAACTCTACTTTTAAGTTAGCCCTCATTCAGCTTGGTTAAACTCATTATTGATGCTAATGGTCATGGAATTAATTGTGTGGATAATCCAAAAACTACTATGATAAGAGATACAACAAACTTACCCTTCTTATATTATATGTTACTAGAGGCCTGGTGCATGAAATGCGTGCACAGGGAGGGTCCCTACGCCTGGCCTGCAATCAGGGTCTTCCAGCTGCCTGCTGGGGCCTTCCTTCGTTCTGTGGTACCCCCTGGTGGTCAGCACACGTCATAGCGAGCGATCGAACTCCCAAACTCCCGAGGGACACTTTACATATTAGCCTTTTTTATATATAGACACTGAGTGTGACATTCGGATGAGTTAGCATTCTACAGTGCACTTCTGCTGGAGGTGAAAGAGGTTGGTCCAGAAATGTGTGGATAGAGAAGGAAAGGCACATCTTCCTGTAATGTTGCTTTAGTCATGCTTCAGAACGTTCAGTCACTCCCCTTTGTCAGCCAAATAAAGTTTATTCTCTCCCTGTCATTTAAGATTCTTTGCCCTCTGGTCATAGCCTCCATAACCAATGCTAATCTTTCCCTTCCTCCAGACCATGGCCCCCTGGCATGGCCACACCAGCTT